CGATTGGCCCTGCTCTGTGCGTGACAGGGGGTGGCGCCGCAACCTCCCCATCGACCCTGCCTTGAGTGTGACAGGGGGCGGTGCCCCAACCCCCCAATCGGCCCTACCCTGAGCGTGACTGAGGGTGGCATCGCAACCTCCCGATCTGCCCTGCTCTGTGCATGACGGGGCGGCGCCCCAACTCCCCAATCGGCCCTGCTCTGAGCCCCACCAGGGGCTGCACCTAGGGATTGGGCCTGCCCTCTGCCACCCGGGAGCAGGCCTAAGCCAGCAGGTCGTTATCTCCTGAGGGGTCCCAGACTGCGAGAGGGCACAGGCCGGGCTGAGGGACCCCCCCCCCACCCCCGAGTGCACAAATTTTTGTGCACCGGGCCTCTAGTCCTATATAATAAAACCCTAATATGCAAATTGACCAAACGGTGGAACGACTGGTCGCTATGACATGCACTGACCACCAGGGGGCAGACGCTCAATGCAGGAGCTGCCCCCTGGTGGTCAGTGTGCTCCCCCTGTAGGCTCATGGCCAGAAGCTGGGCTCACAGCTGGCCAGCACAGCAGTAGTGGCGTTAGTCTGTCCTGCCTCCGTTGCTGTGCTAAGGACCCCTCGGGGGATTTCCGACTGCTGGCTTAGGTCCGCTGACATCTCCCGTGGGGTCCCAGACTGTGAGAGGGTGAAGGCTGGGCTGAGGGCACCCCCCCCCCCGCAGTGCACGAATGTCATGCACCAGGCCTCTAGTATATATACTAGTGTGTATATATCCTATCTAATAATAAACATGGTAATTAGCCATACCTCCGCTACCCTTCCCATTGGCTAATCAGGGCGATATGCAAATTAACTGCCAACCAAGATGGCGGCCGGCAGCCAGGCAGCTTGAAGCGAACATGAGGCTTGCTTGCTTCAGTGATGGAGGAAGCCAACGTTCCCCGCCTGCGGCTGCCGGCCTCTGAGCTTGCAGTTTGAAACATTGTTACAAATATAGAAGCTAAACAAAAACCCAGAAACCTGCTTCCAGCCAGCCGGGATCTCAGAGCTGGAGTTGAAACAATGTTTCGATTATAGAACCCAAACAAACCAGATACCTGCTTTCAGCAGCTGAGGCCTCAGAGCTGGAGCCGAGCCTCAGAGCTAAAGCTGGCCCAGAATTAAAAAAAAAGAAAAAAAGGACAGGTTGGGAGCTTCAGTCACCCGCCAGCCTGAAACGGCCCTCATCCCCTCACCCAGACTGGCCAGGCACCCCAGTGGGGACCCCCACCCTGAAGGGGGTGTGACCAGCTGCAAACAGCCATCATCCCCTCATCCAGGCTGGCCAGGCACCCCAGTGGGGACCCCCACCCTGATCCAGGACACCCTTCAGGGCAAACCAGCCGGCCCCCACCCATGCACCAGGCCTCTATTCTATATAGTAAAAGGGTAATATGCCTCCCAGCACCGGGATCAGCAAAGCCGCGAGGCCTCTCGGCACCGGGATCAGCGTGACAGGGGGCAGCGCCCAAACCCCCTGATCGCCCTGCGGCTCTGTGTGTGACAGGGGGCAGGGCCACAACCTCCCTATCCGCCCTGCTCTGTTCGTGACAGGGGAAGGCGCCCCAACCTCCTCATCAGCCCTGCTCTGTGCCTGATAGGGGGGAGCTCCCCAAACCCCTGATCGCCCTGCGGCTCTGTGTGTGACAGGGTGCAGCGCCCTAACCCCCTGATCGTCCCTGCTCTGTGTGTGACAGGGTGTGGCACCCCAACCGCCCCCCCCACGGGCCCTGGTCTGTGTGTGACAGGGTAGAGCCATAACCTCCCCATCGGCCCTGACCTGAGTGTGAGAGTTGCGGCGCCCCAACCCCCTGATCCGCCCTGCTCTGTGAATGACAGGGGGCAGCGCCCCAACCCCCTGATCCGCCCTGCTCTGTGTGTGATAGGGGGGAGCTCCTCAACCCCCTGATTGTCCCTGCTCTGTGCGTGACAGGGTACGGAGCCCCAACCCCCCTGATGGGCTCTGCTCTGTGTGTGACAGGGGGCAGCGCCCCAACCCCCTGATTGGCCCTGCTCTGTGCGTGACAGGGGGTGGCGCCGCAACCTCCCCATTGACCCTGCCTTGAGTGTGACAGAGGGCGGTGCCCCAACCCCCGAATCGGCTCTACCCTGAGCGTGACTAGGGGTGGCATCGCAACCTCCCGATCCGCCCTGCTCTGTGCATGACAGGGGGCAGTGCCCCAACTCCCCAATCGGCCCTGCTCTGAGCCCGACCAGGGGCTGCACCTAGGGATTGGGCCTGCCCTCTGCCACCTGGGAGCAGGCCTAAGCCAGCAGGTCGTTATCTCCTGAGGGCTCCCAGACTGCGAGAGGGCACAGGCCGGGCTGAGGGACCCCCCTCCCCCACGAGTGCACAAATTTTTGTGCACCGGGCCTCTAGTATATATATATATATAAATCCTCACCCAAGGATATTTTTACATTGAATTTCACAGAGAGTGGAAGAGAGAGGGCAGACAGAGAGAAACACTGATGTGAGAGAAACACATCGATTGGTTTCTGCCTGCACAAACACGGCCAGATCCAGGCTGGGGAGGAGCCTGCAACTGAGGTATGTGCCCTTGACCTGAATCGAACCCGGGACCCTTCAGTCCACAGGCCGATGCTCTATCCACTGAGCCAAACCAACTAGGGCTAGAATATTTTTGATGTGTGGTTGGTTGAATCCACAGGTGGGAAACCTGTGGAGCGGGAGGGTCGACTGCACTAGGACCACAGCCCTGAGGGGCAGCAGAGTTTAAATGTCCCCAGGTGATTCGGGGACACCTCCTCCTGGAAGCCCTCCTGGGGCACCACTGACCTTCAGGGACAAGTGACTCTTCTCCGATCCCTATTCATTGAAGGGTCAACTTTGGTTTGTTTGCGTAGAGACACTGTTGGGTCCCCAGGCAAACAAGAGCACAGAGCTGCACCCCCAGAACAAACAGCCCCACTCACCTTGACATCCGGTGGGAACAGGACTTGGTTGATCAGGTGGACGTTCTCCAAGCAGAAGCGGAGACTGAGCCTGTACACGTCCATATACAGGAAGTTCGTGGACTTCACCTTAGGACAGATGTCATGCTCCCCAAGGAAGGGCGACACGGTGATGGTCGTCTTGTCATCAAAGCAGGGTCTAAAGTCACTAAACCCTCCATCCACGTACCGCTTGTGAGTGAGAGAGAAACACATCCGGTCAGAGGCTCTGGCAGGGTCCGTGGTGCTCAGATTATGGGCAGAGGCTATGGGGGGAGGACGGGCTTGGGGAGCCTCTGTCAACACCTGCGGCTGGGCAGGTGGGTTCGGTACAATGTGGAGAGTCTGCACCTGTCAAAACAGTGTCCCCTATTGTGACATCCTCAACTGTCCGCAGACAGGACAGATGTCCGGGTGGGGGGAGGGGGGCAGGCAATCATCTCAGTGGGTGACGGCTGCCCAGGAAGGAGCTGCCCCTGGTGCTGCACAGCCCAGCACGCAGCCCAGAGCCTGCAGAGCACACACTCCACGCGGACTCTGCCGGGCAAGGCGCGCAATCAGCCGCATGTGTCTACAGAGAGTATTTGCTGATGGAACTGAACCGTAGCTCTGTCGGCAGCTCTGCCCCAAGCCACGGGCTGGAAGGACAGTCAGTCCCAGAGGGGACTGAATCGCTCCACCCTGAGAGGGAAGCTCGACTTAAGGGAGTGGCTGAGTCTTAGGCCCCCGGGCACCTGTCCTCGGTGCTCAGGGGAAGATGAAGTGAACCTGCCCTGGCCTGGGTGTGTCGGTGGTTAGAGTGTCAGCCCGAGCACCACAGGTCTCGGGTTCCATTCCTGGTCATCGGCACCTACCGGGGCTGCAGGACAGATCCCCGGCCTCGCTCTGAGTGCTGGATGCACCCAATTGATGTGTCTCTCTCACAAGGATGTTTCTCTATCTATCTATCTATCTATCTCTCCCCTCCCTCATCCCTTCCGCTCTATCAATGGAAAAAATAGCTTCTGCTGCCCTAACCGGTTTGGCTCAGTGGATAGAGCGTCAGCTTGCGGACTCAAGGGTCCCGGGTTCTAGTCCCATCAAGGACATGTACCTTGGTTGCGGGCACATACCCAGTGGGGAGTGTGCAGGAGGCAGCTGATTGATGTTTCTCTCTCATCGATGTTTCTAACTCTCTATCCCTCTCCCTTCCTCTCTGTAAAAAAATCAATAAAATATATATTTTAAAAAAAAAACACCTTCTGCTGAGGCTTAACAACAAAAATTAAGTGAAGCAGCCTGTCGAGCAGAAAGCCAGATAGTGGATTCTTGGTGAAGGTGGTTGGGCTGGGGGTGGGTGGGAATGGAGGGGCAGCGATGGAATCTCTGGTTCTAGGCTGAGAGACACAGACTCTGCTTTTGGGGACCTAGGATGCCTGCGCCCAGCACCCCGCGAACACAGTTTAAAAGCAGACTTACCTCGCCTCTGAAGGTCGGAGGGATTAAGCCAAAGAAGAAAGGGATGAAGGAGGAACAGATCAAGGCCTGTGAAGACAAAAGGGAGTGAAACCACAGGCAAAGCAGTCGGCTCTTACTTCCCTTCAGCCTCCCTGAGCCTTCTCTCTGTGAGTGAGAAGAGCAGCTGGTCTGAAAGTGCTCTTTGCACACAGTAGGCACTTTAATTAATGGGTTGAATGAACTTTGAACCAACCACACAATAGCATTTCAGCCCCAAGTATGAGCGCCTTATCACCGCAGTCTGCGGACATCAACTTCCTGTCCCTGCTGCCCACGAGAGTCCCAATGGCCATCGCAGACGGGACCTGGAGCTGTGGACGCGATGACTGACCGGGAAGGACTGGATCATACTCAAGCTGCTTGACCCGCTGGCCCTGGACTCCGAGGCAGCAGCTTGGAGGAGGGGCCTCAGACTGCAAGTCTCACAGGCTCCCAGGTGATGCCCACGCGGGTCCAGGGACCACAGTGGAGTAGCACCGGCTGGAGAGCATTAAGCAGCACCCAACACTGACTCACAGAGAAAGGACTCCTGTGGGAGGGACAGGAGCTGGCTGAAGGGAAGAAACTTCCAGAAACAAGGTTCAATGACAGATGGTTGTGGCTGCTGAGATGCTGCTGGCTCTATGGGCCAGGCCGCTCTGCTATGCAGACGTGTGTGAAGGGAAGTGTCTATTGATCCCCCATGAAGGCATCGGGCAAATGCACTGTATTGGGACCTTGCAAACAACCTCCTCTGGGCTGGGCCCCGAGGACAGAGGCTCCGCCTCTCGCTGCTTCCCTCAAGCTGTTCTCCTGCAGGAACACGCATCCCGTGCAGGAGGGACACTGAGGGACCGGGCCCTGAGGAGGTGGACAAAGCCAAGCCTGCAAGGATGCGGAGCCATCCTTTACATGGAACCTGTGCTGGACGCCCAGGGTTTCCCAGGCTCTGGCCCAGACCACGGGGGGCACAGCGTGTACGTCACAGGGTGCGGGCAACAGACAGCGTCCCAGCCGGCCAGGTGCTTGTCCGTGTAAGAAAGGGGGCAGGTGGCCTGTGCCAGCCTGTCCGTGTGACTCCCAGAATGAAACAGCCCCTCACTGACAGCACCAGACAGGCCCACCGCTTACGTCCACAACGTCGTCTTTGGACTGAAACTCGGACACCAGGACGTTTTCCCAGTCGGACACTCTGGTGAGCGAGATGCACATTTTGCCTGAGATGAGCTGGTGGACGTTGTCCGGGAGGTGTCTGTGGAGGGTTTCTCGGAGGCACCTGACTATGTTGAAGGATGGATGGAGGATGCTCATGGTCCGGCTTCTGGCGGACTCGACAAGGTCTGTGAGGAACTTCAGAGTGAGGTCTGTGGGGGAGACAAGCGCACAGGGGGATGGATGTGCCGCCTGGGACAGGGGCCGACTGCGGCAAGACCAGAAACCGGGCGGAGGGAGCTGTGTTCTCACGTGGCTGCAGAGCCCTTACATTGGGGATCGTCCAAACTGAGATGCAGTTAGAGGATCTCAAAACTTAATGCAAAACAGAATGTAAAATATCTCAACTCACTCTTATGCTTACTAAATGGGAGCAGGGTACTGTTTGGTGATATTGGGATGAACGAGACTAACTTCACTGTGTCTTACTTTTTGCTTCCTGTTTCTAGGAAAACGTAAAATGACAGCGCGGCTTGCACTGTTCCTGTTGCACAGCGCCCCTCCCGGCCTTGGCCTTTGGGACCGAGCCCTCCAGAAGGCCCAGGGTGCGCTCTCCCTCACCCCCACTCCCCCTCAGAGCCAGAAGCCAGGGGAGGCCTGGACTCCAGGGGGCAGAAGAGCACCAGGGCCAGGCACCAGGGCGGGAAAGCCTGTCTTGCACCTTCCCACCCTGCCTTCCACCTCTCTCCCTCCCTTCCACCCTCCCAA